AGTTTGCGTTCAGGGGCAATTGTGCACAATTTGTAAAAAAAATGTAATTGCCGACGATAAAATGAACACGACATTCACAAATGAAATACTCCCAAGGACAATGTCTTTCCATCTCAATGTTGCTAAAAGCATTGTAAAATAATAGACTCGTGTAAATTTCTCGTGCCGAGGTTTTTGTCCTCTTTTTGTACCAAGGAACAGCTCTCTCAGAGTGTGGCTGCTTTATTATCCGCCAGGCAGTTAACCCCCCAGTGACCTCAAACTGCTGTCTACTATATCTGATGTCTTTACGACCAAGGTAATAATGCCACAGTTGTGCAACTGACAGCGATGGCCTACTTTTTTCTGTGGTAAAACACTTTGATGTGGATAAGCCAACTGTAGGATTTTCCAAAATTATAAAGTGTAAGCCCCGCAGATACAAGAGTTTAAGGGCATTTGAATTAATTCGCCCGTTTTTTTTTCCATCAACTGAGTGTGCGGTCAAACCGAGATCTGCCGATAGTAACTTGGCAGCTTTCCAGTAACGCAGATATGTTCTTAGGCCCCAACCACTGCTGTTACAGCTTTGCTTGCACACACTAGGGGCTTACCTTCTTTATCTTACTTGAAGCTGTCCGGGACTGAGCTCTGCAAAGTGTTTTGGTTTGGGGTTTGTGAGGCCCGGAAGATATCCATTGAGAAATGAACCCCTACACACGCTGCTTTATCACCTCTATATAATGAGCACAGCTGATGAGCACAGACCCAAAGGTTTCCGATGCAAAGCAGTCAGCAATGGAGAGCACTGACAATAAGCGAGCAAATAACAATGAACTCGTTGTTTTAATTGAGCGATGTTGTAGAGAACTGGTGAGGAGGTGCAATGGTTCGCCCACTGCTATACTGCGCTATGAACCCGGTGGCCTGAGTTCAATTCTCAGGCAGGGCGAACATCAGCGGCAGGTGATAGCTGATCCTTCTACTGGTCCCCACGCTGCAGTAACCCACACTCACCAGCGTGGTGAGGTACAGTACTGCGGAGTGAAATAACCAACCCCCATCACCACATGGCGCTTTGGATGGCAGATTCTTTTGTCAGAAAAGGCACCACGTGTTTAAGCAAAAGTAAAATTTACTTCATCCATCAGTGGCAAAACAAAGGATTCCAATAATTATTAACATAGGAAGCTGGTAAAAGAGATGATGGAAACGAATTCCAAAGTCGTTTAGTGCCCTGCAATAATGTCGTTTCACGCTGGCAGACGTGTTGGAAGAGATGGGAGTACTCACACTTCACCCCACCACACTCAACCTGTCAATCGATCGACTAACTTTGATGAACTAATTACTCCTGCGGGGTGGACAGAAGCTGGGAGAGGAGGGGTAAATGTAATACACTTGCACCGTTTTTTCGACTGTCGTTCCAGAAGATCGAACCACTGACCTCTGGATTGCAAGTCCCGTTTTGTTGAAACCACAAAAACATCAAATTATACAAATCTAGGCATCTTAATCTTGGCAGCAGCAGGCATTGAACCGACAGCATAATTATCAAAGTTCAAAGATGACACACTCTAAAGCCATAAATGTCACTTTTCCGAATCCTTATCTGCCACACGTCGCTTGACCTTAAATATTTTTTCGTCAATGATGCCGCAATAATTACGTTTGGCTAAACTGCTGGACATTTTAAATCCACCCACCCGCCCACCCCTGCTGCGCTCTTGCCAGCTGCCAAGGCTTCCCCTCTGCAATAAGCATGGCAATTTAGCGGGGCATCTGAGGGTCTGCGTGCCAGATGGATCATTAACATTTATGCGCGCCACTCCCTGATCGCAGAAGGGCGTCATTAAACTGTCCCCGCTAAAAGGGCTTTGTAGCTGCCCTGGGTGTTACTCAACTGGTTCAGGATTCTGCAAAGGGCGGCTTTAGGAACTGCCAACAAAAGTCGTTTTACACGACTGCTTTGGGGTTTTTTGTTGCCGTAGTGCTGTATCACTCTGTGCGCTGTGTCTTGTGGGGTTGTACCGCGCATTGTTCGGGAGCATGTCCAATGTTTCGCTCCGTATGCTGGGGAGCTTCTTCAGTTCCTGAAGAGCAGAGAAAAATGTTGGACGCAATTTCGAACAATGCGCGGTGCACAACTCCCCAAACACACCGTAGATCTGCGATCGTCTTAGACAACCCGTGCAACGGACGTATTCTGGTAAATGGCCGTACGGTTACGTGTTTGCAACTTTGTTCACAATTCCGACCGCGTTCATTTTAGGTTTGCGCACCGTTTTAAAACACTTTCTTTTGCTGTCCGTGAAGAATTGTAGACCAAGGTTGGGGTATTGTATGGTCCTTTTTTAAATCCACTGCTGGATGAGGGTTTCCCCACAGTATATGGAGAGGTCGGTGACTGTATGTGAAGACGGGGAGCATAGATGTGAACATAGAATTACAGTAAAACTATGGGTTTTGTTTAACTGCCCTCTGCTGTCTACAACATCCAATCACTATCCAGTTTCAAATCTGCTTGGCTTCCGATATGTGATGAGATCGGGTGCATTACGGGTGATTTTGTCAGAGACAATGCCTATAGCTTAAATATATACTCCTTTGTTCAGTAGTGGATTTACAAAGTACTATTGCTTTGCAAATTGTACTTATTGGGGGTAATAGGCCACAGTTAATTGCTTCACATCTTTACTGAGCACCGCAGTTACTCGCCTAGAACGTTTTTCTTTTATTTTCCGTGCAACTTTAAGTGAAGGGCGACCGACAGATTTAGACTGATATTGACTGGGCCTCCTGGTCGGTGAGTTGCTCAATGATTCTAATTCAGCATGGGCTAAAGCTGGGAAATCCATTAGGTGCCAATTGTGCATTGTATGTCGACGTGCTGAGGAAATCCACTTGTATTTTTGAAGGTTACGAGTACTCTATCATAAAAAAACTAAAATGAGCAAACACTTATGGCCTTTTGTCAATCCACTGCTGGATGATGGCCTCTCAATGCCATGCCGGTCACAGGTTTTGTTGAGCCATAACTTTGCCACGATGGCCAATGTGGGTTGATGAGTAAAATAGTCATGTGAATATATGATAGGAAAAATAAAATTATTCTCATTGAAGATGTGAAACACCATAATATTCAAAGTGATGCCATATATGTGTTATGAAGAAGCGCATATGTACCAACACGTGGCCTAATATATGTTCTTACATTGAAGGCCACAGTGGTATTGACGAACATGTTGTGTGTTTCTTTATAATTCTGGGATCATAATCCAATTATAATATGGGCCACGCTGGAGAACTTCTGTACTCAGGTACTTCTAACTATACACATGAAAAGCACCACGTGGATTGACAAAACGAACTCGAAATGATTTTCTTTCAAAACTGCCTTGTCCCCTGCCTCTGGCCATAATCTTCATCCCACAGATGCTCGACTCCAGCCCGACTGCTTGTCCCTTGTGGAGGACTCCGTTGTGCTCAAGGCTCCCAACGACGGAACTCGTCGACCCAAGACAATCAGTGGCTTAGAATGCATCAATGTTTAAAAAAATCACGTCATGCGACTCGATTTTTGAAATGATACCTTCTTAATCGGTATTAAGTGTATAGTATTTATTTACAGCATAACTCCTGTGTTAGTTTAACACGTATGCTTTTGCGACCAATATCATCCATAATACGGGGTTTTTTGGGTTAGATCGCGTAAATATAGAAACTCCTATTCCTATTACTATATTTTTCTACTGGTAAATGACGTCTCATAGTGTAAATGTTTACCCCGAGCTCTCAGTACTCTGATAGTGCGCTGTTTTTGAGTTGTACGCCTTTTGGCGTTATCTGGTCCAACACCAATGGAGACTAAGCTCATTATCATTATTAGAGTTGTTTCTTTTTGTTTCCATTTTGACTGCTTGTGTTGTGGTTATTGCAAACATGACCCGCTGCATAAAGGTGTCAGTTTTTGTACCAGATGAAAGGGTAAAAACCTATTACTATATAAACTCCTGTGTTAGTTGCCTGTGAAAATATCTCATCGTATCCGTTCACAAATGTGGATGAGTGTTAGTTATTTGCACTCCTCTTATCCGTGTAAAAAATACGGATATTAAGATGAATGCGTTAGTACCGGACACCACTTCTGAGTGATGAATTACGATCAGTGTCCCGTCAAATAAGCACGTGACAATACACCTATTAGGATGAATTTGGTGGATAATAGGAGTTGTGGGTAAAAGGGCCACAGGGACACTAGTTTTACTGAGCAGGTTTTCCCTTCCTAAACGCTTTGTTTAACAATTGCAGCCTGATTTGTCCGTTTGTGATTATTGTTAATGACCCCGGAACTTATTAAAGTCGCTAAATGCAACTTAATGTTGAATTGTAGTTGTTACTGCTGGAACTTGCTAGTAAAACCACCAAGACAAGTTAATCGCTGTGCAGACATTGGTTGTGTGAGTACTGTAGCAGTAATAATAGGGGCTTTCCCCCATTTTCTGGCAACAAAACTGAAACCTTTTTACGATGATTCATGTAACTGCATTAACCACAATTCTTGCAGTTTTATTGGTTCTTTCGGTAAAGTCACGTAGAAGGGAAATAATAATATTTTTATTATTTTATTATTTCCCTTCTACGTGACTTTACCGAAAGAACCAGGGATTCATATTCTTGGTTCTTTCGGTAAAAGTCACGTAGAAGGGAAATAATAAATTAATACGGGAAATAATATTAAATATTATTATTTCCCTTCTACGTGACTTTACCGAAAGAACCAATAATATGAATCCCTGCGGTCACGAAAGCTTTAAATCAAAAAATAAATCTTGCAGTTTTGTTTGCATTTTGACTGCAAGTATTGTGGTTAATGCAGACATGAATCCTCGTAGAAAGGTTTCAGTTTTGTTGCCAGAAAAAAGGGGAAAAACACTTTTATTATATTTTGGTACTGGCAAAAGAGATCTAATGATACTGTGGCAGTGTATTTAATAGTGAAGTGTAAAGTGTTGTTGCCATGGTAACTCTGTCTGTCAGCTGCCCCTCGATGGCCACAGGAGGTCGTTTTAATTCCACCTTCAGTAATAATTACCCACGTTGCATAGAAACGCCGGCTCGCGAGACACGGCGGCAGTGCTGTTTAGCCGCCTGCCTTGTTAGTGTTGCCGCATTTTGTTATTTTATTGCGATTTTAAAATTGCGAATCAGCGTGAAGAGGATAAAGGCGGGAGTTGGATTTGTTGTTTTGCTATATTGCAGAACCGGACAGCCGAAGCTTTGTATAAACGAATCAGGCGGCACTGACAAGAAGGACTGGGTGAGTATCTGAGGAGATTGATAGGCAGTTTAATGTTTTTATTCGCTTGTTTTGTGTTAATGTTGGCGGGAGTTTCGTGTGAATGTTTAGCCGCGGCACCGCTGCCTCGAGCGAGCGTGCGGGGGGTGGGCTGTGTTGTCCACGTGACCGTAGAACGGACATCTGATTGGCTGTGCCATTTCCGCCTACGTGTGACTTATGATAATGAGGGAGTCGCTTACAATTTAAGTAATGCATTTAGTTTTAAGTTACTAGTGACTTTTAATAACAATTATAGACCATAGATTATAATTATAATTACAGTATATCTACATGTATTTGTTTCTACGTATATGAATATTACATTTCAATATTAGCTAAATACGAGCTGCCCATAGCGAAGAGAGATGCAGTACATGGTTGATATAAATAGTGTGGTGTGCATACCGCAAGGTTTGTGTTGTATGAAAGGAGAGAAGGTTAGCACTCCCCTTGATAAGGACGGAAGAGACCCTTGTGGTCTTTACAACACATATGGTTAAGGCATTGCCACCTACTTCGTGGCATCTAACCATGTTTTTTTCGTGATATTTCATCGTAACCATGTCTCATCTCTCAAACCTTCAATGACGCTGCTCTTGGCAAAAGAACCTGCAATTGAGGGACACCGAGATGTTTTGTTTTAGCCTACTTCTCCACACACCCGTCTGGGGTCGCGTCACACCACACGCGATCGTGGTCGAATTATGGATAAAAAAGAGGCGGAGAAATATGCCCAACGTTGCCGCTTCCGCAACGGGAGGTCATGTTGAACCGACGACCTCTGGACTAATCCCAGTGTGCTAACCATTACGTAGTTAAACCACGATTAACTGGAATTTTAAATGTAAGTAAGCACCACGAACAATACTAAAACGAATAAAACAACCCAGGAAAATACTTGCTCATCATCATCATTGTTACCAACCAAACCCCCACATTTTAAAACGACCTTCAAAATATAAAATAGCAATTATGTTATTATGTATCTACAGAATCCCACATCGTCCCGGTGTAAGAGATAATGAATCTCAGAGGGCCATCTCCGGGGTTGAGTTATAGGCCTTGAGTTGACATTGATTGATGAGGCTACCACCTGTGTGAGAATGAGATGCCAATCTTATGACCCGTGGGCATTTAGCGTCCCCTGTTGTCGTCAACGTGCCCTCCCTCCGCAGGTTTCCAAAAATAAGACTTGCCTCAAAGGGCTTTGACCTGCTTGTAAAGGGCTCTCATCTTTGTGTCATCATCCTCGGCTATGATCAAATCCATTGCCGGACAAAGACCTCCCCAAGCCATCTCTCGTGGTCTTTGGCAGTCTTGCCCAGTGTGACAATCCGCCCAGCGCTTGCATACGCCAAAGTGATGTCCTGCTCAAGTGTGCATTGAGGCGGCGCTAATTTGTTTTTCAGCCCAGATGTAACGGTGAAATTACATATTCCTATGACGAAGTGGTATTAATTGTTTTGGCCCCGGAGGGATATGAACTGGCAACCTTACGATTGCGAACTGCTTGCTCTGCCACTGAGCCAACGAGGCAGATAAACTGCACACGAGCTTTACAACAGAAAAGGATAAACAACCCGGCTTGTGAGTTGATGAACGGACGGGTCACATGTCATTGTTATGACGGCGGGTTTTATTGTTGTTTCGGCTCAGTTCTGTGTCTATAAGGGGGGAATGAAAGTGAATCTTGCGAGAGAAAAAAAACAAGGGCTAACTCGGGATGACAGCGATCCCTTCGTCCCCACTGCATTAGACTCCGAGCCGGGGGGAGCTCAGGATGGAGAGAGCGACGGGAAGGAGCAGACTTCTCATCTCGTGCCCCAGCTCCCGGCTTGGCAAGATCGTGACTGTGCAAGATGATCCGCTGGGCGGCGAGAGCGCTGACGCGTGGGCCAACCTCCTGGGCCCCGGGCGTCACGCCGCCTGCAAGCACTCCCCACAGCTGATCGCCGCTCTGAGCCGGGTCCTGGCGGGGAAGCCGCCCACGGCCATCCTGCAGGCCCAGCCGCCGGTCCGCGGGAGAGAAAACTCGTCCCGGAGGCCTCGCGACGCAGTCACCGCCAAATCCAGTGGGTTTTTCTGTTTACTTGGTATCGTGTAAAGGATAAGGATTTGCAGTATGCAGGGGGCTTGCTTGAACGCCACGGCAACTCACATCTAATCTCAACCAATTACAGCATCCTGCCGCGATCTCGCCAAGGGGACCCTCAGTGGCAGCTGACCCAGTGCGGCACGAGGTGTACGCAGCACCGCCTTGCGAGCGGCAATTAATCTGCCAGTATTGGGCAATGTCCCAGTGTTAACCGCTGGGCTTGAACCGTGAAATCTGCAACAAGCAGGAAACGTGCTACTACACTTGCAATGCGATGTGTATATTGATTCAGAAGCCAATATATATGCGTGTACTGCACTTGTATTAATCCACTGCTGAATGAGAGGTTGGAGAGTGCATCGCGGGAAGTATAGTGCAATGAGAGGATTTTGAAGACGGAGAGTGTGGTCTTGAATTTGATGCAGGATTAGATTTGGGAGCAAGAGGAGTGATTGGCGCATCGGCGTGATGTGTTCGCATTTACGGATACCGGTGTGAATTCTGGCAGCGGCACGTCGCATCACCTGGAGATTGTGGATTGGGATTTGTTGAGGCCGTAGAGGAGAGAGTGTTCGCCACGTGTCGTCTCTCCGTACAGAGCAGCCCCACTTGGGCCACGGTGAGCAGATCAGCGGCTGGTGCGACAAAGTCGATCTCGGTGCCCTCTCCATGCAGACGGGCCCTGAGCAGGCATTAGAAGCCGTTCCCAGCGGCGCTGAAGATGGGTGAGACGTCCGCATGGATTCACGTACACACCACCCACAGATGTGAATGCGTTGTCGCTATGCACGTGTGGACGTTACACGGTAAACCAGCCGTGCAGAATTTACTTGGCTGGCCACGCAAACATTTTCTCAGGCGCCCCGCAGATTTTATTTTCCACTCACCGTTGTGGGGATTCAACTCCTGGAGATGCCTGCAGTGGTAGTGCGTGATGAAAGGAAGAAATGCTCAACACACAGCTCAACCTGAAGAACTAAAAAATAAAATTGGGCTTTATTGGTGGAAATACTGAGGCAAGTGTTTCATCTACGTGCTCTGGATTCAGATGTATACAGTGAAAATGCACCACTCTAATTTTCAAAACTGTAAACAAATATTCAAATTCCGTGTTCACTTCGCAGTAGGACATAAACGCGATATTGGGACATTCCATTTTGTTGGCTTTTTGTTTGTACGGCCCCTTTGTCAATCCGCGGCTGAATGAGGGCCTCTCCATGCCGTGCGGGTCGTGGTGGTTATGGGGGCTTATATTACCACGCACGACGAGGCTGATCAGTGCGAGTTGAGCATGGGAGGGAGCACGCATACGTTCGGACATTGAAGCACAGGACAACAGCGTCCTTTTAAACGTGCTCGATTGTCTTGCTGCACTGCCCTCTGCTGACCAGAAATAGCCGCACAGAACCTGTTTGGAGTGGTGGCCCATTCAAGCACGATCCCAGGCTGAACTCTGCTCATCTTATGAGAACAGATCCGACGAGATTGGGTGCATCCCGGGTGATTCGGAACAACATTGGCAATTGGGCATGCAGAGTTAAAGGTGCAGTTCTGCCATGGTTTTTGCTCACACGCCACAATACTGGTTAAGGGGCCCTTTGGAGGCATAACTTTGGCCTTGCTATTCTATCCTGGCCAGACGTCTTGGAAGATACGGGAGTACACACACAGACCTTACCCCATCACACGCGACACACAGATAAATTAAAGGGCATAAAAGAAAGGATATATACTCGTGCCAGTAAGCAACATGGGCGAGATTTGTTGTCGCCGAGACAAACGTGACCCAGGGGCCAGCACACGCTGAGACCGGCTTTGGTCTTCTGGGCCTCATCAGCAGAGTCAGGCTTGTTCATCAATGCTGCTGGGCTGCCAGATGTTTTTGCCAAAGGAAACATGGTCAACGCAAAAAAAGCAATACTATACACAAACCCGTGACACGTTTACGTGATGCATGATCGGTAATCAATTCTATAAACATTCGTATGTTTTGTGAAAGTCAGCAAAGCTAATAGCCGATGACTAAAATGTAATTTACGTGTGGAAACACATAAAGGAGGTCTGTTTGCAAATACAGATAGCATTCTGTGTCTACTAATGCATGTTTACAGTGTGTCTGAATATAATTAGAAGTGTGAGGTTGTTTTGCTTTTGTGAGCTGGTTACTATTTTAATTGCAGTGTTTACAATTTTCTCTGATTAGCGAACATGAAATGTAATTCCCGAGTGAGGCTTTCCTTTCCTTCAATCAACCTCCACCAACAATCACTTAAGCGGCAATGATCTGAAAAGTAATCTGCCAGCGATTGCCTCGCCTCTTGAACGATATGCCCATCTCCTGTTTCCACGATGCACATTGCCCCCACTATGTCGTACAGTTTCTTGAGATGCGGCTGCTATGCTGCATACATTCAGATTGTAAATTGCACTGCGTCTATACGAGTCTTTTGTGACTATACATGTGCAAGCGTACAGCCCATTTGGTCAATCCACTGCTGTATTAGGGCCTCCGCACACCGTTCGGCTCCAGGGGGATGGTAAACCGATCAAACTTAACCACGCTGCTCCGTGCTAACTGGTGATAGTTGTGTGCATAGAAGTATTGTACAACATCGGATTTTGCTACACTGCCCACCACGTCGCCACAAGGCTCTAGAAATCCAAATAGTATTGTACATTTTATTTTATCTGCATATTGTGACGTTATATATAATGCCATGCAAACTATTTTCAAAATCGTTCGTGATTTTTTTCTCTCAATTTTCCACGGGCAAATCCACACTGCTTCCTCCGTGTTCCTGTCGCAAGGCGGCGAGAGTGGGAATCGGAGCCGGTGGCCTGGGATGGGCCCGTCATTTACCTCCCGTCCACCGCCCCGCAGCAACACCGCAATCTCGGTGCCACCGACACGTGTCAGCCTGGGGACGGGGACACGGACGGGCGGGACGAGGGAGGGCAACGGGATGAGCAGTGGGACGCGTCGGAGGAGGAGGAGCAGCAGCAGCAGGAGGGAGAGTGGAAGGAGGTTGTGGAGGTCACACATGAATAAATGATGAGCAGTAATGGTGTTTGTGTTTTAGGGGGGTCTGTGGATCACAGCCACCTGCAATACGCACGCCAGGGCGGGGCTGTCGATTCAACTTCATCTTGTAAAGTTTTCACGGACGACATGCAAATAAACACATTTCTGCATACATTTAACACGTGTTGGCTCTGGCGCATCTTTTTTGTGCTTCTTGATCTGGATAATACGGTAATATTAATTATGCAAAAGTATTTTTTTTCTTTCTAAGTTTTTAATCTGCCCATACTCCCACCCATCCATCCATCACCCCACTCATCCGCTATGCGATCCATTAACTTGGTCATCAATGCATGCCCTCATTCATCCCTCGCTTATTTACTCCACGCAGCAGGGTATAGCAGTGCTCGGCAGTGTGCTGGCACGTTCATCCCAGATGCCCTCTTCTCACACAAGTTCGGGAATTTACAACCAGAGTTTATTCGTGTAGCCGCAACGATGTCACGCAGTGACCTCCTCCCCTCGTGAGTATATTTCGTAGGATGTTCAGATTTCGTGCGTAGAGTACACGGTCCTGTACATATCCGAATCAATTGGGGGCAAGGTGTAGGTAGATACGTGTTAAGGTCGAACGTGTTCACAAATACTGCACCAAGAAATGGGCGGTTAATTGGTGCAGGGCGGATATCGTGACGGTCCGATTTGGAATGTATTGCACACAGCTGGCGACATCGCTTGGTGTCCTTTCAGCATTGCCGTGCACTCGGAGTGTCTCTTTCTGCTGAGTTGAGAATGACTGCTCTGCTGATGAGACCCATAACATCGACACTGGTCCAGAAGCTACTCGCTTTAACAAATGCTGCTTCATTAATAACATTGGTCTGGAAGGCCGACAGGAGGCTGACTGGACTGTATCTGTGGACAGAGAACCGAGTTCTGCGTTTGCAGTATTTTATGTATCTCTCTATTTTTTATTTTACGTACGGTACAGGGAGGAGACGGTGAGCCCACACTCCACGTCCAGCGGCGAGCGGCAATCCACGTTGCTTAAGCGCCCACGCACGACGCCGTAACCTTGCGATACGATCGCTGTACATCCGCTGAATTGCAATCTCTGCCTTTGTCTGCTTAATGCGAGCATATGGGCGCAGTCATTACCGCCGGCTCTTCTTGGCACGCTGCGCTCCGGCGCCATCGCCCGAATCGTGTTCACGACGTTTAGCTGCCTGCCAGCTGCGGACGCACGCGATGGCTTTATGTGGGTTAAGTACAGGACTCGTATCGCGCACAAGTCGATACAAAATAACGCACGGTGAAAATCGTCCGTGGCTCTGTTCCACCGGTTCAGGCTGAGCTGTAGAGATCGAGGGGGAGGGGCCGTGGGGGATAGTTTACGCGTAACATAACTGCGACACAGACAAGGGTCCGTTTCACTAAATAACAATATAATATCGTGTCCTTCTGGATCAATGTTATGTATCCATTCCCTTTAACTCACAGTTCACCCATGCTCACTGCTTTAAGTGAGTATCGGTGGCCATACCGTGCTGATGAATTCTAATAATAATAAAAACCGGCGCACAGTGATCTCTTCAGCTCTGTACCGCTGCCGCCTGTTAGTCGGCTCAATGCGTCCCATCCCGTCGCGGAAGCTCAGCAGGTTTGAGCCTGGATCGTGCTTGGATGGGTGACCACCACGCCCTGCCGCCAGGTTGTCACAGGGCAGCTACGTGGACCGTGTCACGCGGCGGGCAGCAGAGGGCAGTGCAGAAACAGCCAAATGTTGCATCGTACTTCTATGCTCCCACATCTATGCTCCAAAGCACACTTAGCAACGGCAGCAGCAGCAGTATGCCAGAACGTTCAGCTTGCCAGTCTAGCACGCTCTCAACGCCTGCTTGTGCCTCGAGACACAACGCTCACATCTGCTAATGACCGGGGACGTGTGTGGCGTGTCGACCCCGGTGGCTCGTTCCATCAAGGCGCGCTCTGCACGTGAGGCCAGACGGGGCTGCATGAGTCATACACGCGGCACAGCAAAGGCAAACATCTCCCGTGTAGCTCCCGCAGGCGATCGGGGCAAGTGCTGTTTGTGAGAGCACTTGTGACGGCGGGTTTAGTACGCACGCCGCACGAGTGGGTGGTGCGGTCAGAACACCTTTGTCTCCCCAGTGTCGATGTTTAGACAAAACGAAATAATAGTTATTCATGTCAGGCTGAGCAGACCTCGGGAATGCCCAGCACCGTCGTGGTCTGGAATCGAACTCTGGGTGGTTCGGTTCGGAGCGCAGTGCACTAATCACTGCGACAGCGCTCCATTAACGGTGAACGTGCGCACACGCTCACACACACACACAGACACGAATGTGTGTGTGTTTGTGTATATTGTCATGTGGGGAGCGGTGGTGTAGCGGTTAGCGCGCTGCGCTACAAACCCAGCCAACACCAGTGACGATTATCTGAACCGGTCTTGGGCCACCTAGGTCGACTCAGCCTCAAATCAGTACCTGGTGCGGTGTGAAAACATCGCCACTGGGGAAACAAAGGCGGTCGGGCATGGTGTTGGCCACCAACCCTCTCGTGTGCCGTGCCGGCCTTCATATGTGCTCGCTAACATCACTTGCCCCCACAGTCTGTCCAGGCTATACGGGGGGTCTTTGTCTTTGTATATTGTAATCCGCCTCGGCTCCACGATGTCGCACGTTGCGCTCCACCTGCTGGGAGCTTCTTCGGGAGCCAAATTCTGGCCCCATTTCGGTTACCGGTTCGCGCGAGCACGCGCGGAAGAGACTCGCTGGCCACAGTGGCGGACACGGCGCGGCACAGGCAAGCCGAGAGCACAGCGGAGACAGAAACCTGCTGCGCTGGCTCTGAGCCGACGTGAGTGGCTTCCCATCACTGACACCAGACGACCGGCAGTGGCAAACGACCGGCAAGGAAGGCGACTGGCCGCCAGGCACAGTGGCCGCCGCCTGCTCGTTCACCGCTCCACGCAGGTGGGGACAATCGAAGCGGCGCGCTCTGTGGGCTCAATTCTCCATGGCCTCCGCGTGACAAATGAAGTGTTGGCACACTGCCGCCCTGCCTCCTTCAAGCCACACTGGCACGTTTCTTGTTGTTGTATCTTACCCCCCCCCACCTCCCACCCCAATTGTATCCGGAAGTGGCTATCATCTCTCACAAACGCAGTACAGCCCTTCTTCGTGTTGGAGGCTGCTCCGTTGGAGTGTAAATCAAGATCGCCTTTGCGCAGCGTCACGCAGCACGAGGTGGTGCCACCACAACAACAACGCCGGAGAGTCGTGGTGGTTGCGCTGCTGCGTGGACTGCGCGTTTAACTTCTTTCCCACCGTACGTAGCCAACCGTGCTGATCGGAGGTGCTGGCCCAATTATGGGGTGGGGGGGGGTCGAAGCAGCAATTCTGTTCGAGGGTCTCCCATGGGCGGAGTTTGTCCGGGGGGGGGGGCACGGGGGGCAACGACCCCCCCCCCCCCAAACTGAACACCTTTATTAATTTGCACCCGAGAATCCTGATGTGAGGAACAAAGCGACCCCCTCGCGCCCCCAAATATAGAAGTCAAACTCCGCCTATGGGGTCTCCCCCACCCCCCGTTTCAATTTACAAGCACTCCGACTGAGCTGAGCGAAGATAACGAGACGAGAGACAGAGACGTGGCGAGACGCCGAGACATGCGGACAAAGGGTAGAGAGACGAGAAATGAGAGATGCGAGATTAGGCGGAGGGGAATGAGAGAGACGTGGACACGAGACAAACGGATCCGCATCCATTCAGAGCTCGAGATGAGGGGGGGGGGTGCCTCGTTGTGTTTAGCGGGCTGATATTTGCTGCATCCGTATACAGCACATACATGTTTAACTAATGTGGGATCCCCTTGAACCGCTTGGGACCCCGATGCCTTTGCTTGGTTCAGAGCAATATCTGATGCAGCTCGCTGCGCGCTGCGCGTGCGTGACTGCAGCTCTGTCCAGCGCTGTGCGCGAGACCCCTCTGACATTTTGTGCGAGTCTATGACTCACCGCCCCCCCCCCCTACCCACCCAGCCATCCTCACGCTGTAGATGTATTTATTTATTCTCTCGTTTTATTTCGTGCATTTATATATTTCCTTTTGTTAATCACAGGCGCTCCACTCAGGTGCACGTGCACTGTGGCCTGATAAGGGCTGGCCTTTCCCCCACATGATTTTATAAATGTCACAATTTGGTTCGGTTTTTTTACCCCCCCCCCCCCCATGGCCGTTGTTGGATGCTGAGCTAAGGAGTGACACACTCGCGGTCTTCGTGCCCGTGTAGCCCTTCTTGACATTCCACTGCTGGATGAGGGTCAAAGTAAAATGTTGAACCATACCCTTTGGTTTTTTCGGTAAAGTCACGTAGGTAAAAAATTATAAATATGAAAACAACGAAATTTAATCACAAATTTAAATAATAAAATAAAAATGAGAAATGTATTCAAGACGTTTTGGAAGCAACACAAGCCTCCGTCTTCAGGTAGAACCGCCACAGCAAAATTACTGTAGTGAATAAAGAGCTGTTTAGATATGGAGGTTTGTGTTGCTTCCGAAACGTCGTGATTTAATTTAGTTGTTCTCATTTTTTTTTGCGATTTAATTTAGTTGTTTTCATTTATTTATCATTTTTTACCTACGTGACTTTACCACAAAAAACAAAGAATATGGATCCTTGCAGTCACGAAAACTTCAAATCTGTTGAACTATACTTCACCACGCTGGCCATTGCGGGTTGGGGACGCCGTAGACCCAATTATTAGTGCGGGTAGAATGGTGGCAACGATAGATACGCGTCTCATCTGCAGGCCGTCTCGACGTGGTAGGTCTCACGTGGCTCTGGGGCCGTGTGGCATGAAGTCGCGGGTCGCATACGGCCCGCGAGATGTAAATACCTCACCCCGGCTACAAGCGTGGCCGATACATTTAGCTCCAAGCTGTTTGAGCTTCATTGCCAGGTGCAGCCAATTTCTGGTAATTTCCGAAGACAGGGTGTAGAAAGCAGTGCACCTAATTATGCGTTTATGACTCAATTAGTCGCGTGCAGGCTCCACTCAGACGCCCACGGCAACGTGGAAGTACTGGAAGGGATCACGGCTCTGGAAGCGAGCCTTCTCGAACGTGGGCTCATTCACGGGACAATTGGGCCCCTCTCAGATTACATTTCCACTTCCCTCAATTTTGATTTCTGGTCCCCGGCTCGTCACATCCGCAAATCTTCGTCGTTTGCGGGGGGTGGGGGGCAGTGGGGGGGAGGACAAATTGGGCAAAGTGCGTGGGAAGAGTGGCTGTTGTGGTCATCGTCATCATCATCATCATCTGTCGCGGTCAATCCACTGCTGGATGAAGGCCTCCTCCCCAACAAGACGCCGCAGCCACCTGTCACGTAAGTAAGTGACAGGTGGCAACACAATCAGTCACGAGAGGTATTCGTCAACGAATACGTTTTTTTTATTATTATAAAGTCAAAGATAACTATGAATGGAGGAAGATATTGTAAAGATGACAAATCCTCCTCACCACAGAGGCCGCGTGCGGGTGCCTCTGGCGAGGCGACATTGGCGAGTGTGGATGAAGACACGCAGGCTGACATCATCTGGGGGCGTCATCAGAGGCTGCAGTGCACTGAGGCAGAACAATGACACCTTAAATGTATAATATAGAAGTGCCTAATATATAAGTGCATTATATAAACGGCATTACCAAGTTGACCGATTGGCTAAGAGGATAATTGTGTGGGGTGGAGGGCGGGGGTAGGCGCGTGAGGGTCGGGGGCGAGTGAAGAGCTCGAGAGCGGACTCAGTGTTGGGCTGCTTTAGTCCACTCGGGGCATGAGGAAGACACTCAATTGCGCTCCTCACGCTCTCCCGACGAGACTGGGGCCAGAGTGACGCTGCAGTTAGTGGAAGCTGGAACTCTGAAGGCCAGAACACTGCAGAGTTTGTAAAACAACAACAACAACAAGAACTAGTCTTAACACGCCCAAGTTTCTCTCCTCTCGCTCCTGAGGCTTAGTCACAGAATCCGCGTCATTCGCCAAGTACTAAAATAGCAGCGCCGCTTACGACGCAATTAAGTCAAAGCACAAAGCACCCAAAGGGCTCGATCGGCGTGTACGTCATCGTCATCACGATATATCCACGGCTAGATAACCCCCCCTCCCGCTCGAAGCTGTCGCCATCATCCCTCAGTGCTGCGATGCAAAGATCCACCGAGCACCCTGCCTGATTTCATCGTTCCATCTCTTTGGTGGGGGCGCTTCTCTGCCGAGTTTAAATCCTCTGCTGCCACTCGCTCACTATTCTGGACCACCATCATCACTTCCAACGACGTCTCCTGTCCAAGCCCACTCACTCTTCCTAACAATTAGCTTCATATCTCTAATCATCGAGGTGTTTGGGTTAGATCGCGTGAATATAAATGCGTCGTCAAACCCACCAACACCCGACACGGCCAATTGTTAAGGTTTGTCACGTAAACAAAAATGACGATTATAATCGTCATTTTTGATTACGTGACAAACCTTTGATCCTGCAAAGTGAAGCTGCCACAGATGTAGCAGAAGATATCTGGGTCATTACTGCATTTTCTTCTTTCGGATGTTGTAGCCATTGTTAGATCACGCCCTGCAGAAGAAAAATATTAAATAAATGTGGATATCTACATAAAATTATATTATAAACACACTATCCTAAAAATACAGCACCATATTTTAACACTAAAGCAGCCACTGACTCGCAACAACTTGCAATCATAAGTGACAGAGTTAATTTCGGGTAAAATCAATGAAAATGGGGTATGCCGATAGCATAGAGATTAGATGTGATAGAGCAAATTTGAGATCAGATTTGGAATCAGCATCCTGGAATTAGTCTAAAACAGACGCAAAAAACCAAGCCAGAATTTTTAGTTTTGTTGACCAGTGTTAGTTACGAGTTCAGCACACGCGCGTGTTGGAGAGTAAACCCACAACATTTCCAATGGACGTGCTCCTCTCTCCGTCTCTCAATGTAACTCCGAGCAAGCCTGCGTCTCTCCAATCCTCTCGGCGCGTGCTTCTGTCTCGCACGTGTCGGTGCGTTGTTGAATATTTTTGCCCGTCGCGTGTTTAATGACCGCGTTTCTGAGCGACGTCATCCAGCGGGGACCAAATATAACTTCGCCGCTCGCGCAAATTAAGCCGAGCCACCCTGCAAGACAGAGCTGCGCGTTATCGGAATGTGGTGTTGATTAGGACAGTGCATTAGTGGTGTTGGCGCTCGCTTAACCCGTGTTACAACAGCTGAGATGAGTAACAATGCGCAGCGTTTGCCGAGGAGGGCGACTGCATCAACAAGTTTACGGTCCCGGGAAAACCAGGACAGGTGGCAACGCTGGCTGAGATTGGCAGGATCTTTGCCGGGAGAGGTGACTTGACCTCCAGTCTCTCTTGCTCTGGACCTTCCAGGACTAAACCGTGGATAAATCATATTGATTGGGATCGATCGTGAATGGTCTCCGAGGCATCTTCGGTCACGATAATTGCGAGCGCCTGAAGCGCGTAATGCTGCGCAAAGGTTACAATGATCCGTCCCAACAAGGCTCCCGCCGATACGCCACCATCATCATCATCGTCACCATCATGATCATCATTACACGTTAATCAGTCACGTCTTATTAATCGATACATTATAATCAATTATACAATCATCAGTCATCCATAATCGTCAATCAGCCGTCATCATCATCTCATATCATCGTCGTCACAATCACTCCTCTACATTCATACGTTCATCGTCCGTCAGTATCACTATCATCATTTCCGCTGCGTTCATCCGCTTATAACAACACTTCGTGAAGTATGCA